CCGGAGATTTGTCAATGAGACCGTAAGTCACTTTGGCCGAGGTATGTCTCACTTGCATCGCCGTAAACTAATAAATCTTAACCGATATAACCAATAGATTCGGTTTTCTTTTAAAAGATTTCTCAGCAGCATAAGTTTTACTCTTTCCATTTAAAAACTAACAGAAACCTTTCATTCTGCATTTCTCTTTATATTTATTTATTTAAGTTTTGTGCAGTGGATCATCTTGTCAACACAGCAAGTTTGGGGCATATCTTTTACTTTGAAGAAGTTGGGGACACCTCTGTGTTAAAACATTTGTTGGTAAGGGCTATAAGCTTACATGAATGAATGGATAGTTTGGAGCTCTGGATGACTGCTAATCTTAGAATCTTCAAAACTTTTCCTGAAAGATTCTTAAATTTGATTTTTCATTATTAGGACATTAATTTTTGGGGCAATGTCTATCCCACTTATGTGGCTCTTCCATACATACATCAGAGCAATGGGCGAGTCGTCGTTAATGCAGCAGTTGAAAGCTGGTTACCTCTACCTAGAATGAGCTTATATGCTGTAAGTATGCATAAATCTAAGTGTATGAAGTTTGTTTTCTCAGATGCCAAGCAGGTTAATTTTTTTTTCTTTAAGAAAAGAAAATTCATTCAAACCTTAAGTGAAGGGAAAACGATAAAAATAATTACTCTGACAAGAATCTGTACAGCGTGGTTTCACTGAAAATTTGATATGAAGACCCTTTTACAATGTGTTTGTTTTCTGAATTTATTTTTTTAAAAATTATTTTTAAAATTATTTTTATATTTATTTGCTATTAAAAAAGTTGGTTGAAAAATTTGAACAGAAAATACTTTTTAAAAGTTATAAAAAATCTATAATATTATTAAATATTAAAAAATAATTTATTTTTTTTATATTTCACTTAAAAGTTTTTTTTCCCGCAAACAAACAGAAGCTGGAACACTGAAACTGCTCGTCCAGCAGCAACCTTCAGTTAAAATTCACTTTTTAAAAATAAACAACATCCCTGCAAGTAACCGGAACTTGGACCTGGAACTGCTCGTCCAGCAGCAACCTTCAGTTGAGTTGCACTTAGCTTAGCTCTGCAAGAAACTTCATCCGCGATGATCCATTACTATTTTTACATGGACATTAATCTCCTAGGAGTAGTGCAAGGTTACACAATCATCTTTCACGAAATACAAACACAATAAGAACAATGGCAGGCTAGTGATGCTTAACTTTACGGAGGAATATCCTTTCCTTTTTCCTGTTCGAGGGTCCTAAATCCATGTGCTTACACTTTTTCCAGTCTCCTATAATTAACCGATGCTTGAGAAGAAGCAGAAGCACGCATTACAGGAATATATATACATATTCATGTGCTGGTTTCATGATCTTTCTTTTACTTTATTCTTTTCATCGAACTCCGCATTCAATGCTTCATTGTAAATGGCTGAGGCTTCACTATATTCTCTTAAATTTATAACAATTCTTGCTAGGCTGCTAAAGCTGCTCTGGTGAACTTCTACGAGTCATTGAGATTTGAAGTGAGTGGTGAAATTGGAATAACAATTGCAACACATGGTTGGATTGGAAGCGAAATGGGAAGAGGCAAGTTCATGCAAGAGGATGGCGCAGAGATGCTATGGAAAGAGGAAAGAGAAGTAAGATTTTGCTCTCAAACGTTTTTTTTTTTTGGAATGCTTTGCTAATCTTTCTACTTAGTTAATCATTGAGACTTTAATATTATATCAAATAAATAATTCAATTTAAAAATTTAAATTGTGTCAGAATTATTATACACTCTGTAATGCTATCACCTGACACATTTCCCTTTTGTTTAGTTAAATGGGACTGGCGGACCGGTGGAGGACTACGCCAGGAGGATGGTGTCGGGGGCTTGCCGAGGAGATGAGTATGTCAAGTACCCAAGCTGGTATGATGTATTCCTCCTCCTTTACAGGATGTTTGCACCTGGAGTCCTCAACTGGACGCTTCGAATGTTGCTTGCATCGCCCGGTTCAAGAAGAAGGTCTCTGGCAGGCACGGAGAGACCTTTATTTGAAGGCGGCAGCAGCCCTCCGAGGAAACTTCTGACATTCTCCCACCTCGATCCCCAGAAGATACAGATGCAGAAACTAGAATAGAAAAGTCTTTTGGCTGGTAATCAACGATGTCGTTTGGCTATTTTATAGCTAGTTTTGTTTACAAGCCGCCCCTTCGTGGTTTTCGCTTCACTTCGGCTTTGTGACATGTTATGACGAAACTAGGCGTATGGAAGCCGTATTTAAAAAAAATTCAAGATTTTTTTATTAATTTTATTTTTATAGTTTAAATTATTTTAATATATTGATTTTAAAAATAATTTTTTAAAAATAAAAAATATCATTATAATATATTTTATTATAAAAAATACTTTAAAAAATAATCATAATTATTCTTTTAAATAAACTTATTAGATTATTTATTATGTGTAACTATAAGTTTTTTTATCTATCTTTTTATCTTTTTTTTTTAATTATTTTTTAAAATAATTTTTATTTAAAATATATTATAATAATATTTTAATTTTGTCACTTTCCTGAGTACTTGGTGCTAATTAAGCAACACTTTTGATTTGTAATATTTTAAGATAATTAAATTTATTTGTAATTGCTTTTTAAAATATTTTTTTTTGAAAATATATTAAAATAATATATTTTTTATTTTTTAAAAATTATTTTTGATATCAGCATAGTATATGAAAATGATATAAAAATATCAAAAAATATTTTAATTTTATTTTAAAAAGCTTTTGAAATGAAAAAAATGGTTAGAAATAACATCAGAAAAGATTAGTAAGATAACTAATTAGAAAAATAAAAAAATAAATAAAAATCTAAAGTTATTAAGGGAGACGAAGATTGACTAAGAGATCATAAAGGATTAGTAAAATAGTTGATAGAAAAAAGATATAAGAAAATATAAATTGCAAAGTATTTTGTTCAAGAGAGTAACTTGAATCGGAACTTGTGAAATGAACAATAAGTACATATCTATTTACAAATAATAATTAATTTAATTACAAATGTAATAAGCAAATATGGTTAATGGATCTTACAATAATATATTTTCCTAAATAGTCTAACTAAAGAGGAAAACAATAATAGTAATACGAAGCAAGCCCAGTACCTTATTTTCTTTTTCCGGGAATATTTAGGGAAACTTCATAAAAGTCCCCAAACTTTGTGGCTAGTCTTGATTAGGTCCCTAACATATTTCTCATCTCAATTAGATCTCTAATATAGATATCAATTCTCAATCATATCCTTCATTCAATTTTAGTTAGTAAAATCATTACTTGATTAGGTCCCCAATCATTACGGGAAAATGACATAATAGACCAAAATTAAAATGGAAACACAAAGATCTTATATTTATTTTGTATAATTTTCTGTTTTATTACATGATGTGAAAAGTTTTAGTTAATTAATGGGTTAAAAGGAATAAAGAAAAATTACTTGATTTTTTCAACCATTATATTAACCTAAATTAACATAAGGGTTTGATTGAGAATTCATTGATACACTTGAGATTTAATAAAGATGAAAAATATGTTGAGGGCCTAATTGAGACTTCCCCTACAGATTGGGGTTTCTTTTTCTGGCTTGTCAAAATTGGCTTTTTTTTACATTGTTTAGCCCCTGGAATTGGTTGAATATTGGGATTTCATCCTAGCCATTAGAAGTCTTTCAATTTGGTCCAATTACTCACAATTAATTGGAAAATAATTTGTTTTGAGTGTAAACACGAGGCATCAACATGGGCCTCGATCACGGACCATCTCTTAGGAGCATCTGGTAAATCACTCGTCAGGCCTAAAACTAAACTCTATTAATTTTGATGAAAATAATTTAATTACTCAAATTTTAAATTTATTTTTTTAAAATTATTATTCAAATTTTATAAATTTTAAATTTATTGGAAGTTAACATGAATTTTAATTTTAAAATGTGTAAGATTAGTTAAGATACACATAAATTAACTAAGATATTTATATTAATAATAATTAAAAAAATCTCTGTTCATTTTTTTGTGGCACCCAGAAATTAAACTAAATTGACAGTAATTATAATGTCAAACCAAAATATATATTATAAGATGTTATGGATATAATTTTTTATTTAAATAATATACAAATACGTGTATTTTGATTAAAATATATATATATATCGAGATTTAACAAGCAAGCGACAAGAGCAGGCCTGCACGCAGGAGCTTGTTGGTTGTCTTGAGCAAAGTAAAATGGAAGGCAAAGTCAGCGAATATTTGCCGCCAGTTATCTGCCATGCCATTAATGAACGATGTCGCCTTCCTCCGCTTGTTGAGCTTCTGGTCAGGGCTTGGTATTGTTTTGTGGCCCTCCAGCAGACGCATTAAATTTGGTAATGACTTATGGCAGGAAGCAGAAAAGAGATATAAATACATATTTTTAAACACAATGGATATTACAATTCCATACATTATTTAATTAAAAAATGAAAATAAGTATTTTGGATGCCTAAGCTATGCCATTTATTATCAACGTCGACGTTCAAAATATAGTTCATAGAAGGTTATGAATGCACCGCTTAAAAATTAGAAAAAAAATATAAACGAATGTAGTTTTTTTTTAATTTGCTTGATTATATACGTCAACTTATATATACGTCAACTTATATATATACGTCAACTTATATATATCTTAATTAATTTTATAAATTTTAAAATTAATAATTTTATAAATTTTCAATAATTATTATATTAATAATCATAAAACCTAAACTTGAAAATATAGAAAAAATAATTTTTTTAATTTTAAATTTTTATTACTAAATACCTATTTAATGCTTAACTGAGGTAGTTTTTTTTTTTTTTTTTGATTTACGTGGGGTGTTCGGGCTAGCTTGCGCACACCGCGACTAATCCTCACGACCTACTGAATATCCTGCAAACTCAGTAGGCATGTAAGGCACCACGGGGGTGACAGACGTGCACGCTAGGGCTCGAATCCAGGTGCAGTGGAAGGAGACAAGCCCCTTCCACCGCTAAGCCAAGCCCTAGTTTGCTAACTGATGTAGTTTATTGATTGTACATCTAATAGCTTTTTTTAGTAAAATAAATTTGAATTATAATGACTTCAAGTTATTTTATTATTATTATTATTATAATGGAAGATAGTTAGGTAATTTTATAATCTTATAGTATGTTGTAGTGTAATAATAATTATTTTTATTTTTTAAAAATATATTAAAAATATTTTATTATCATTAGCATATTAATGACATAAAAATATAAAAAAATAATTAGGATTTTTATAAAACCTTAGCACGTGAATAATGTTTTCGATAATATATTTTTGTTATCAAAACGCATTTGAAAAAGTAATGTACAAAGTTGCGTTCCTAACTGAAGAAAAAAATGCCTGCGAAATAAGTTTAAAAGCATGAATTAATACTATAAGAGAATTTTTAATTTTTTTTGTTGAATCAAATACGTTCCCGATGATGGTATTTTTGAAATAAATAGATCGGGCTTTGAAATTTTTTTTATTTGGGTATTTTTTATTTTTTTTTGTTGGATTAAAGGGCTATTAAAGATTAGAAATGTGTTTATTAATTTTCTAAAATATTTCTTAGATTTTTTAAATAAAATAAAAGTCGACAATAAACTTTTTTTTAGGTTCTAGAAGCCTGCTTCTTACTTTCCAGTCCAAAAACAAAGTTAGACACGCAGACTGGTCTCGCAGACTCACACATGCGTGGCCCGTGCACGCGTGCTTGACCTTCTCTTTTCTAGACAGGGCTGTCCCATCAACATCCATGCGCCCTAGTTCTTGAGGCCTCCTGTTTTCTTTTAAAATTTTAATTAAAATTCTTTAAAATAAAATCATTGCAATTATATATTTAGAGTATTGCATCATTAAATTCCGTTAAATTCTGGAATTTTTTCTTCAAATAAAACTGTTAAGGTTCTTATTATATTAACAAGAGAAATCCCATATGCACGAGCTTATTGGATGAATTTTTTTAATTAATATTGATATTCAAATTAATTTATATATATTTTAATTTATTTTAAAAATTTAAAAATTAACTATTATATAAATTTCTAGCCGCTTTAATATTTATATAATTTAAATTAATAATTTTTAAAAACAAATCTAACAACTCACTAGTTGAGTAATTATTATCATCATTGAGAACTTGAGCTATAGATAAGATGGTTGTCCGTTGACGGCCGGAGAGAACTTTGAGCAAAGTAAAATGGAGTGCAAGGTCTGCTGCCAGCGATGATGATGTTGCCAAGCCATGAACGCCATCACCAGAAGCATTGAACGTTGCAATGACTGCTGGTGAGGACTCGGTCTTGATATTTGGCATCGATTTGAAAATGAATAAAATAGTCACCGACTAATTCTGTCTTTATTATTGCGATCTAAGATTTTTCTTTTTTAAATATTTTTTTTGTTTAAAGTAATTTATTTTTTATTTTTTATTTATATACATTACTATCAACGTCAACGTTCAAAATATGGTTCATTAAAGGCCACAAATGCACCTGTTAAGAAATTGGGAAAAGAGATGTGAACAAACATAACTTATTTAGTAGATGCGTATATGGTAAATTTTTTAATAAAATAAAATTAAGTTATAATGACTTCAGTTTATTTAATTATTATTATTATTATTACAAGAGAGAGTTAGCACCAATTAAACATATAAATTGATTGAGTATTATACTATAATGTACAGGATAAATATTGAATCGAATAGATTAATTTTTTTTAAATAATTACTTTATCCAATTAATAATAAATACAATATAAATATTATTAAACTCTATTTAAAACTTATCTCCAACTTAATTATCATAAACTTGATAAATATTTTCAAACTCAATCCCAGAACTTAATTATTTATTAAGACGACTTCGTCGAATCCAGACTGGCCGTACTACGATTTTTCAATAGCTAGTCAGCCACTCAATAATTGCTTATTTAAGCAATTTTAATGTTTCAACTTTGAACTGGTCTTAGGTTATATATATTATATAGAAAAGAAATTCTAAAGGAGGAGGAAAATTCATGCTTTGAAACTTATTTGGCAAACACTTTTTCTACAGTTAGAAATTCAACGTTGTGCATTAATTTTAACATCAAGAAATATATATATTAAGAAAGAATCCCACTAAGGCCTGAATGTTAGGATCAAGAATTGGTGTATATTCATTTCTGTGGACGAAGCTATCAACTACTCGTTTAGCTAGCTTCAAGGACAAGATATGGGTTCTCTCGGCTTTTTCAATCCAGAACTATAGAATCTGTGTGGGTTTTATATCAAATGCTTAAAATCTAGTTTTCCTTTCTTTTCTTTTTATCTCTATTTTGTAACTTTTTGAGTATTTTTTTAGGTTTTTCTCGTAGTAAACACAACTTTGATAAGAACAGTTCTAATCAAATAACTTTGACTTAAACTTAAGTTTAAGATTATCCAAGATTTCACTTATTAATCATATATATATAATATTTTAAGAATTTTTATTTATAAAACTCACATCCTTCTTGAAACTATTCTGACTTGGAGTTGAGAAAAAAATTATAATTACGTACTGTGGCAACTAGAATCAAACACAGCTAAAAATGAAAATGTCAGAAATGATAAGCATCGTTAAATCAAATCAAACACAGCTAAAGGCACGTAAGCATTGTTAAAGGGTTTGTCCGTATGCATAAACAGTTCGTAATGTTACTATCTGTGGTGCAGTAATCTGAAGAAGTCCCACTTCGGTAAAATGAGGCGGTCGTCTTTGGTATAATGGTATTCCTGAATTATCTATCGCATCAGTCAAAAGTGTTTGTTTGCAGTCAATACATGACAAGACATAAACTTACCTTCTTTTTTTTTAGGTCATGAAGAAACGTGCATGCTAGTGGGTTGAAGATTTGAAACCACGACGAATCAAAAACAGACTGCAGCTATTGTCAACTGTTGTTTTACTGCCATGCTAAACCTTGATGAGAAAATTTGAAACCACGACGAATCAAAAACAGACTGCAGCTATTGTCAACTGTTGTTTTACAGCCTTGCTCAACCTTGATGATTTAATTTCCCTGTCTACCGTTCTTGAAGATCTTGATATGTATAAGAAGTTAATGATGACACAAACTAGAAAAAATGTAGCTAGCCGGCGTAATGTATTACACCGCCATCTCATAACCTTCCGATTTCTATTTTAATGATATCGCACTGGGTATACATATATACACACATACTTGAATTAGATCACATAAAACATGGTCTCAAAGCTTAAACTACAAGAGATAATCTTCAATGGAGATGTTTAAATCGTCCCCTACTCTAGTACCGATATTGTTTTCATGCCAATTCTCGCAAAGATTATTACTATCACCACCACCACCTGCTGCAGGTTCCCATAACTGTGTCTCTGGCCCATGATTAATCGCAACTTTCTCAGGTCCATCCTTGACCTCGTTTTGGAGCGACCTGTTCAGTATCATCTGAGCATCGATTGCCATCCCAGCATCCGACGCAGCTTTCTGTATGGACTTGGGTGACATGTCTTCCCTTACACTTGCAGGCAACATTAGGGGGAAATTCAGACTCTCTAACGAAGAAGGCCCACGTAAACAATAAGAAGCTATGTCATGAGCCACCGCAGCTGCCTCGGGTGTAGAATAAGAACCTAACCAAAGTCGTTCTTGCTTCCCAGGAATCCTTATTTCAGACACCCACTTGCCCCATTTTCGCCTTCTTGCTCCCTTGAATTTCCTTTGAGCTGCACTTGCTCCACTTTCTTGATCTATTATCCTGCTGCTGCTGCCGCTGCTGCCGCTGCTACCACTCATCCTTTCCTTTCCTTTGATTCTTTATGGGTTTTACACGTATTTGTGAGTACTTCAAACTTCCTTGAAACGCTCAAGAGAGCCTGTGAGATAAAGAAACGCTGGAGTCCTTATATAGGTTGAGGAAGTACGAAGTCAAAGCCAAAATATAATATCTACTCTAAAGTCAATACATCAAAGGTCAAAGTGACGATAAACAAATATTTTTTAGTTTCTAGGCTTACAAGTGGGCGTTGCTTTTGAAGCTTCGGCAGATCCAAGTTGGGAGAGAGGAAGGTGGAATGGTTATTTGTTGAGAAACCTGAGGCTCTGGAAATTTAACGGAGAAGAGCATCTTACTTGGTCTTCGGCTATAAAACGTGTTGATGAACTTTAAAGCTACTCGCCCACAAAGCAATATCTGGAAAGGTCGAGGAGATTAGACTTTAAACCCACGCGTACTGCCTAATTGCGTCACAAACGGCATCATTTCTAAGTCAACCATTGTCTCCATTTTGAAGGAACCAGGAGGAGTCGACGGATCCATCAATTACACTAATTCCGTTTTAATTTCTTATGCATCTTTTTTTTTTTTTTACATATGATTCAGATGCCTTTCTGCTCTTCTGGATTCTATTGTTAATTCTAAATTTAATTATTTGAATTAAATAAAAAATCAAAAGCAAAATTTAAGTTATTTATACTCAATATGTTTATCTTGTTTTCAATTTTAGATTTATATTAAGCACAAAGATTATGAAAACAAGATAGATGCTTGTTGAGTAATTAACTATACATTTATTATCACCAGGATAATATCCTCAAATCAGTGCATCAATTTTTTTAGGGTAAACAACATATTTATTAATTGGCCTTTAAAAAGCATAGCATAATAATAAAAAACTTAAAATACTGAGTTCGAATTAAAGTGCATATACTATAAAAGCTCTTGGGATAATTGAAAATTTATTCATTCATCTACACTCATAAAATATGCTTTTTAAAAGATGAGGTTTTTTTAAATTTTAAAAAATAAATTGTTTTTACTTACCCTAATGGAATTATCAATATTAATATTTTACTCATTCTTCTATAGTTTAGACTTTTCAATGTTAACCTCATAATTCTAATTTCTCCTTTGCCCTTTACTTTACTCACACCTAGCTAAATAAAAACTAATTTTTCTTATTTATATTTTATTATCTCTTACTTTTCTATCATTTATTTTTCCTCTCAAGTCCATATAAGTGTGTGGATGTTAATAATATTTTATAAAAAATACTTAGAAACCTATATAAAAATTAACTCATAAATCAAATTTAAAAAATTATGAATAACATTGGAACTCTTGGAAAATTAGAAGGGTAAAACATAGAAATTTCAAACTATAAGAATAGACGTGAAGTATTTATGAATTGAGAGGGGCAAAATGAAAGCTTACGGATTGCTCCCCACAGAAACGGCATTGCTCAACCAGTTCCTCAAGCTCAAGTCAACCCAATACTCATTAATGGAGGTTGGTTGACAAGCACCGTCTAATTTGCTCGTCTATCACGTGATATTATTAATGCTTTATGTTTTTTTATAAAAAAAATCAAACCAGTACTCCTGACTTACACGATAATTTCAGAAAGCCTGATTTTATACTTTCGGTTGTCAATTACCCCAATGGAAATTTAGTTTTTTTTTTATGTGTAATTGTAATTATTTTTTAAAATATTATGTGTAATTGTAATTATGCTTTAAAATATTTTTTATTTAAAATATATTAAAATAATATATTTTATATTTTTTAAAAATTATTTTTAATATTAACATATCAAAATAATATGAAATTATCAAAAAATATTAATTTGAAGTAATAAAATAAAAAAATTTAAATTTTTTTAAAATACTTTTAAAATAAAAACACAAACAAGTCATGAAACCGTTTTTGTTCATGCAAGGATTTAATTAAATAAATTGAGACTCATATATTGCCAATAAATGCAAGAAAGAAAGAAAAGAGAGTGTTAATAATAACCTAAGATTAATTTGAAAAATTAAAAGATAGATGTAAATTAAAATATTTGATATCTCAATACAAGTTATGAGACTATTTTTGTTTAATAATTTTATTTATTTATTTATTTAATCAAATAAAAATAGAAATAAACACATATATTACAGTGATTGAATAAAATCTAAGGAAAAAAATATTATACAAGGATGTAAAAAAAACACCTACTAATATTAGAAAACATTTGAAAGCTGAGTAAGAATTAAATAATATGTAACCAAAAATTAAATTAAAAAATTTAAAGATAGATGTGGATGTAGAAATATAATTTAAAAACATAAGCCATAATGATAATAAAAAAACATGCATAGATAAACTATTGGGTCTAAGGGATAAGAAAAAGAAAAATAGGTGTACTAAAAAGTATTTTTTATATGATTTTGAGACCAATCATGTAATTTATTATTGCAATTAATAAAAAACGGTTGAGGACAAATTAACTTTATAATTCATAAAAGCACAATATATATATACACATTGTGATTTTATGAATTGCTATAATAATTGACCTAGTTGTTTTAGTGTATTCTATAATGCAATTGTAATAATAATAATAATAATCAATCCAAATTCATCACATAATAAATAACGCACGAGGACACAAATTCATTCAAATGCATTTTATTCTATAAATGGCATAAGGAGGATGACAAGAATGAAACATTTACAGATGATGGACTTTTATAACATGATTAATCATACCCACAGATAAAAGCACTAATTAATATATTAATATTTTATATACCTCCCACTATATCCTCAAACACATGCTAAATAGCATATTGTATATATAAATAAATCTTTCCCACCTTACATTTAAACATAGTAATTCAACACCAGTCAAACTGATTATTAATATATTAATTATGAAACCAATAGAATTCTCTAGAATCAAACCAAGGCTGCGTGACTTGCATGGAGGGCCTCTCAACGAGCAGAAGGGTGGACACAGAAGAGAGAAGATAAATACAGTAAACGAAGAAAACTGCAATTAGGCAAGAATGTCATTCATCGTAGAAGACAGGACATCTTAAGACTTTGATCAAATCTGGTTGGCATTTGAACTTGAAATTTAGAGTCATGATTTCATGAAACAATTTGGTGGCAGAGCTTTCACCGACCTCTTTTTTTCTTGTTTTTTTCTCTCTTAACAATCAATTCTTTGAATCTTTGACTTCTCTTTCTCTTTCTTTCAAGCCATGGGATTTGTCAATTGCTCCAACCGGAAAACCCAAGTGGAAGATCAAACAAGGAATAGGAAAGGTTTGGTAAAATAAATAAAAGTTTATGTGAGAAGAATAGTGTTTCTGTTTTTATTGTCATTCTTTGGTGGTTGATAAATAATTAGTATTTAAAAATATATTTTTATCAAGATTTTATATAATTAATTTGTATTTAAAGTATTAATAATTCTTTAATTAGAGCATGTTTTATAATATCATATTTAATATTATAATATATATTTAATTTATAGTAAATATTCATTTTAAATGCAGGCCTATCATATAAATAAAATAATTGATTGATGATTTTAGCTACTGAAATTAAAAAGATAAAAAAAATGATTAAGTTTAAAAAAGAGATGTTGGTTAAGTCCATACTATGACATTATTCAGTCATTGAGTCATATATAGAGTTATAGAACTTGGATTTGGGTCTGCTTTATATGAATGAAAAATTAAGATATAGGGCTAAAACTTTCATAGGAGTTCAAGATTCAAAAAGATCGTTTTCAAGTTCAAATCGTAACAACAATAGAGAAGTCAAAATTTGTCCTACAGCCCAGATATTATTCAATGTTCAGCTAATATCTTGAGTCCTAGAAGTCCAAATGACCTTATTTTTTTTTATTGGAAAGCGAAGATAAATTTTTAGAACTTTTATAGGACAGTCTGTTCAAATTCTGATGTTAACAATGACGTTTTGTTCAGACAAGAAGATAAGAATTGTCAACAAGTCAAGATGTGACCACCCACTAAACAAGTAATCAACAAATCAAAAGTTTTAAATTTTGGCCTATAAAAGGAGATATTTTCCATGCATTTAGGCATCTTAATTTTCAGATGAAGATCATATTCTTGCTCTTTTTTTTTGCAATGCTTAAATTTTGCTTTCATTAATATATTGTTTATGCCTTCTATTTCCTTCCATTTACTTAGTTAATTTATATCTTATTTATATTCTTATCTTGTTTATTTATGCTTCTCTTTTTCATTATTTTTAGTTAAGTTTATTATGTCAAGGTGAAAAGGTTACACTAATGGTGTAAAAATAAGTATAGTATAAATTCAACATGGACTTTAATATTTGATACCAACATATTTTGTATTTGTTATATTGTTCATTTTAATACTTTGCTTATTAAATACTTAATCTAGATTTATATTGTATAACACTTGGTACAAAAAAATACTTAGCACTTTCATAGTCCAACCTTGTGGGATAATCTATACCTGTGCTGTGAAAGGAATTTGATTTGTTGTTAGCAGAAGTTATAATTTGAATACCTGATAATATTTAGAAGTATTAATATTATTCGAATAAAATAACTAATGTAGTCATGTTAACCATTTATAATCCGATTGAAACATTCTCTATGTGTGGTTTCCAGTAGAATTTTTATTGGAATGACCTTTATATTTTCTAATATTATTCTAATCAAATATATCAAGGATATATTTTTGATAATGAGGTAAGTGATGTCATTAAATTTTATCATTCCGAGGCATGTGGGGGGAAATTTCTTGTCAAAAAAGACAACAACAAAAATCTTACAAAGTGCATTCTCTATGTGTGGTTTCCAGTAGAATTTTTATTGGAATGACCCTTATTTTTTCAAATATTATTCTAATCAAATATATCAAGGATATATTTTTGATAATGAGGTAAGTGATGTCATTAAATTTTATCATTCCGAGGAATGTGGGGGGAAATTTCTTGTCAAAAAAGACAACAACAAAAATCTTACAAAGTGGATTTTATTAGTCCACCATGTTAAGGGCACATATGCATTATGTTATCGGTATGCGTGGTCACTAAACCATGAATTTATCGGTTCCGGTTGTCAGCACTAGATTGTGAGTGTCATGCGAACTATCCAGACATCACGTGCTCAATATATTACGTCTATATATCCCCTGAAATGAATGGCGTTTGAATTCCTACCAAATCACTACCTCATTCTAGCCTTCTAGACCATTATCTCTCACATATCTTCTTGTTTTTTTTTTTGTGTGTCATACCAAAAATCATGTACTCTACTTCTATAGTAACAAATTAGAATTCAAAATATAAAATAACAAATTAGAATTCAAAACATATGTCATAACCCAATTCTGGGTTATTCCCCAATTTTGACCTATATTTCGATAATTTTTTAGAAAAAATCCAAAAAATAGAGAAAAACAATGAAAATCCAAAAAATACATTTTTAAATATATTTGCATCATTTTTAGCATTTTCAGCATCATCTCAAAACAATTTAAATTTTCAAAGATATTTAGAACGTGTTTAACTTTTAACGTGTTATTTTTAAAATCATTGATTTTTCTTATTGAGTCGATGTTGATATTGCTCATTTAAAAAAAATACAAAAAAATAAAAAAATCAAGATTTACAAAAAGTTAAGGGACCAATTTTAAAATCCAAATAACATTTTGCTTATAAATATCAACCTTTGACACATAATAAAACAAAAGGGGCGAATTTTGCAACCAATGAAGCAATTTTACAAGAAAAAGGGCAATTTTGCAATTACAAAGAAAAAAACCCTAAACCTAAATTTCCTTCTCCAGTTGAAACCAAAGCATCGCCCCCTCCCCCCTTTTTGGATTTTTCCTTCCTTCACCCATCTCCACCAGCCGTTGGCCATAAACCCAACACTTTCCCTTTTCTTCTTGCCCTCTTTCAGCCAACTGTTGTTCTTCTTTCTTTCAGCCGACTTAGCCACCGTGAACAGGCCAGCTCCCTCCTCACGCCTCAGCAACAACGTCTCCTCATCACAGCGTCGTCGTCTCCAGCTCCTCCACCAATAGTGGCAGCATTAGCAGCATCGCCCACAGGCGTGGAGCAGTCCGCCTTCTCCCTCCGGTGGCGCTTGCAGATCCAGCCTCTTCTCCTCCACCGCGAAAACCGAACACCAGCAGCAAAAGAAGACCATCAACTCCAGCCTCTAGCAAGCACCACAACGCAACAGCTCTTGCCCCCAAAACGGCGTCGCCCACAGATCCGGCACCATTTCAAACCGGATGCATGCACCAGCCATCCTCATTCTCTTCTTCATCTTCCCATAGACCATCCTCCATAGAAGCGAACCGCCACCAGATCCGCCATCGGTAGAGAAACGGATCAGACCCAAAATGAAGGAGAAAGAAGCAGATCTAAGGAGAGTCAACGATGTTGTTGTGTATTTTTTGTTGTTTTGTAGGTCACGACGTCGCTGGTGTTGCAGAAGAGAAGAGGAGGAGAAGTCAATTTCAGCCGGTTTCTTTCCCAGCGGCGCGTGAACCCACGTGCCGCTAGTGGTAGTAGCGCGTTGGGCAACGCGCTGACACTATTCACGCTGCAATTTCTGGAGTTTTAGGGACTGTTTTTTAAATTTTAAATTATTTAATGTATATTTTATTTAGTTTTGAATTTTTATAATTTTTATTGTGGATGTAAAAAGAAAAAAAAAGAAAAAAAAGAAAATAAAAAATGCATGTGTGTGTTTGTATTTGTTTTATGAATGTTTTTATTTATTTATGATAAAATTACGGAGAATAAAAAAGAATTTAATATTTTGATTGGATCATGGTGTAGAAGTATAAATTTGTACGGAAGTTGTATTTCTAAAATTCGATGAAAAGATAAAATTTTTAAAACTTTTTTAACACATCACAGCTACGAAGCAGTTTACCTCAGGTAGGGTGCGTTAGGGGTGTTAATATCTTTTCTAACCAAAATCAGTCCCTCACCGTGAATCTCTGACAAAGACAAGTGCAACTAGATTTCCTAGTAATCCTCAATTAAATACTAGGTGACGACTCCCAATGAATCTAACAAGATCAAACCAAAGATAATAGAGGAAAAACAAGATCAAACCAAAGATAATAGAGGAAAAAAAGCGCCAGCCGACGTCGCGCGAATTTTTTGATGGGCGACAATAGAAAATTACAAAACAAAAAATTATATTATTTTTTATGTTACTTAGTTGCTGCTTGATTCTTCCATACCTTCCTTACAACACTGTTGTTTGTGCTATCCCACTTAAATTTTTGTTGTGTATAAATAATTCATTTAAAATAAAAATAATACAGGATATAAAATTATAAAAATAAACTGTAAATTATAAGTTAACATTTACCTGACATTATTAAAACCATGCATCAATATTAGTCCACACTTAGGATGTTTGGAAATCTCACTCTATTGAAATGATAGAATCTCCATTGATGATTTAAATACTGATGTTATTTTCTAAGCAGCCTCAATGTTTGTGAATATAAAATTAAATAACATTAATAAAATATTAATTAGTTGTTCATAAATTATGTTATAAATATAAAAAATACTAAAACCTAAACAAATTGACATTGAAAGTCATCATTCGATAGTCTTGGTACTTGCTGGTGAATTGACCTCGCTATGAAGGCAGATTACCTTTTTGTTGTGAAACTGCATTAGAAGAGGTAGCATTACAAGTTGGCATAAATGTCTTTTCTTGATCATCATCTAAAGATAAATCATCCTCACTACAAGAAGAACAAGTTGCTACCGTTTGCTGATGACGTCTTGTTGATTTCATTCCACATATCTACAAAAATTTATATGAATAATTAAATAGTTAAATTCCATTATTTAAAAAAAATTCAACAGTACCTCCCCTATACTGGAGACTACCCACAGTTTTTAAACCTGCAAATATTTACAATAACCACAAACCAATTAACTCCATTGGAAAACCTTATATACAATCTAACATCTATAGAAATATATAAATGACAATTAAAATTAATGAAAATAATAAAAAACACAACAAGAAATAATAGAATAAAATTGAGATAAAATAATTAAATTTAATTCTTCAGTTCCAAGGTAAATTTAATAATAAAAATTAAAATTCAATAAAATTTACAGATAATTATTACAATACAAACAATAAAATAATTAAATTTTTATTCTACACATCTATACAAATTTATACGAATAATTACATGATTACATTAAATTATTTTTTAAAAAATTCATTAGCACCTCCCCTATATTAGAGAATACGCATAGTTTTCATATCTACAAATATTGATAATATCCACATGTCAATTGACTTATTGCAAAATCTTATATACAACCTAACATCTATAGAAATTTAACATCTATAAATTTTCAACTAACATCTATATAAATTCATAAATAACAATTAAAATTAATTGAAATAATATAAAACATAACAAGCAATAATATAATAAAATTAAGATAAAATAATTAAATTGAATTATATATTTTGATAAATATTTTTAAGGTAAATTCAACAATAACAATTCAAATTTAATAATTTTCAATTATTATGGTAATACAAACAATAAAAAAAATTGAATGAATAAAAAGAAAAAAACTAAAGACTTTAGAATGAAAAATATTTACCTTAATAATGTGTTGATTTTGAAGATTTTATCTAAGAACAATACACAAAAAAAAAAAAAAATCATAACTAAAATTAAAAATATAAAAAAGTATAAAGATAAAGAAAGGAAAATACATACATTTTAATATGTTGAAAACTACAATCAAAACAAAAAAAATTGCATGAATTTTTGCAAAAACAAAACACAAACAGAGAGGAGAAGAGAATAGAAGATGAAATGAGGAACGAAGAAAAAATGAACCATGAAGGAGGGGCTGGGTTTTATACTACAATTTAACCGACAGGTTTACCAATGAACATTAGAATAATATTTTCATGGCAGTGACATTAAATTTCTGTCGGTACATTCCATTGATATATTTTGAATTTTGTACTAAAATTTTAAAAAGCCCTCTAGAATTTTGAAAGTTCATTAGCACATTTGTCGGTATAGACAAATGCAATAAATATTTTGCAACTCTTGATAAAATACTGACGGATGGTTTTTATTAGTATGAACATTGGCATTTGTTGCAAATGCAGTAAATATTTTGCAACTCTTGGTAAAATATCGTTGGATAGTTTCTGTTAGTATGGATGTAGGTATTTGTTATAAAGGCAGTAAATATTTTACAACTCTTGATAAAATACCGATGGTTGGTTTCCGTTAGCATATATGTCGGTATTTGTGTTACACTTTTAGATATTTTGTTAGTATTGCCTATTTATCCTCCTATACAAACGCTTCAATTGCAAACTTACTACACATCATATTAAAAATAGCAAACAATTATAAAATAAATATATCATGCTCCAAAATATCATCCATAATATTACATTATATATAAAAAAAGCTTTAGACTTTCATGTTCTGATATATTTAGTCAAAATTTTCATCTTCATCGTTGTCGCACGTGTGTGGCGTCGCGACGATCATCCACCATCCATGCTAACGATGAGATGTGGTGTATTTCTAACAAGGTATGAAGAGACAAGGAATTCTTGTCTCTTATCAGTGAAAAATTTGAATGGGAGTCGCCACCTAATATTCTGGTAACTAGGAACCCTAACTGGTCTTTAGAGATCGGGTACGGAGACTGGTTGCATAAAGGGAAGGTATTAGCACCCCAACTACGCCCAACCTAAGGTAGACTGCATTGTTTTGTCTGGTAAAATATAAAATCATGATGTGGTATCTAATTATATGTGTATCTAAGGTTTAAGAAAAGTCCTCATTTGTAAGGATATCGTTATCTTATCGGGTAAAACCTAGTTGTTCTATGTCGTTTGTAAAACCAAATAACCTTTTAATATCAAGAATGCATGTTATGTATAACCTCATAATCCCTGATACTAAACAAAACAAAAAATTTCTTATTATTTTTGATTTTTGGCCAATGTTCTCTTGACTTTAATAAACTGGTTATTAAAGTCAAAATGCATGCTAAAATATTGTTTTTAATGTATGAAAAATACAATATGATTTTTTTTATTTTTGTAGCTTTGAGACACTTGGCCGTATGCACAAAAATATTTTTTTTGTTGATAAAAAAAACCCGGGTATTTTTAATACCATATTTGTATTTTTTTATGACATAAAATATAGATCAATACTAAGCAAAAAGGCATAAATAATAAAAAAAGAAAAATATATAAAAATATAAAAAAACATTAATTTTTTTTAAATGGGCCGGACTCGGCCTAGATCAGTGGGTTGGGTCGGACCCAGCCCAAAACCAAATGGGCTGGTTACTCGTATACAGTAACCAGCCCCCCCTCCTTCATTTGCTACAGAACGTGAATTAATTCACGTTCTGCATGCTAATGCAGACCGAAAGAATAAAGAGACAAGGCAGCCGGAGATTACCTGGGATTGGTGTCGGGGCGGTGCTGCTGGTGGTGGAGACACAGTGGCCGGTGTTTTGCTGTGTTTTTTCTTCTCTCTCTCTCCTCAGTTTTTCACAGTTTTCTGCTTCTTCTTCTCTGTCTTTTTTTTTTTCTCTCTTTTCTCTTCTCCTCTCTCTCGTGTTTGGTTTCCTTCTCTCTTTCTTTTTCTCCCTCTCTTCGTGTCTGGGTTTTTTTTTGTGACCTGCTGCCTCCCCTGTTTTTATAGGCAAAAAACAGGGGAGGGGACGTGGCTGGGGCGGCCACTGTGCAGCTGCTCCTCCACCGTTCTTCAAGCACGTGGAAAGTGGGTTGTGTCGGCGTCTTTTTGAAGTTAAATTGTCGGTAAAAAGATCGGTAAAAACAGAGGAGAAAAACACATTTTCTTCCCCTGTTCTCTGCGTGTCCAGGGGAAGAAGATGGTGGTGCTGTTCAAAACGACATCGTTTTGAGTTTTTTGTTTTTTTTTTTATGAATAGTTCATATGAACAGTGCATCAAACGACGTCGTTTTTCCCAAAACACGTCGTTTCATTTAATTGAGATTTGGCGCCAAAATGCGTCAGATTCAAAATCAAGCCTTCAATTTGGACGTGTTTTACAATTTGGTTCTTGGTTTTGGATTTCTTCAATTAAGTCCCTAATTGGCCATCGAACTTCAATATTTAGGCAATTAAGTCCTTGATTTGATCAAATTATGACAAAATACTGCCAAATTGTAATCTTTGTAATTGTAAACCTTCTCAACATAATCGTCAATTGAATTATTATCAGCTCCATCATACTCTTTAATATAGTTATCATAATCTTCATCGATATTTGCTAGTTTACTAAAGCTCAAAACAACATTTAACTCCTCTACATCAACATCAACAAGACTATTATTGAAAACATGAAAATTCAATTTTTTTCTAAGTTAATCGAAGGAGCAACTATATATGGTTCAACTAACTCACTAACTTGAAATGCTTCATTTATCACACTTGTGTCTTCATTCTCATTTTGAATAACCTCAGTATGGCTTTTGGGTTTTGTTTTTAAAACGAATAACCAATCAACTTTTTTTTTTTAAGATTGAATAAGTACTTGGATATATAGAATTAAACAAAAATTATCAATTAGAAAAAATAATGAAATTTTTTTTAATTATAAATTACACTACAACTGTAATATCTAACCTCTTGAATGAATACATCCATCTACTAGACTGATCCTCCAACTTTTACCTTATATAGTAAATGTATGAGTAAATGCTCTATTGAGCCAAAAAAATAATGGAGAGAATATCATCTCAAGTTTGCATATTGACTCAATGATGTTCGTTTCAAGACTTTCAATGTAATCAATTTTGAACTTGCTGGAGCATATATCTATAAAGAAATGATTGATATCTGTGAGTGTATATCATATCCCCATTGGCAAGAAATCACGAAAAATTAATAGAATGAATGTTTGCATGAACACGTGGCAATCATGACCTTTTATTCCATATAATTTGCACTCCTTTATATTAACCAGCTTTGATATGTTCGAGGCATGTCCATGAGGAAAACATATACTTTTAAGCCATTTATAGACTGGTAGTTATGTATTTTTATCTAACATAAAGCTTGCTCTGGGTTTTATGACCCGTGACCTATAAAAAACAAACTCTATTTTTTTTTTGTTACAGAACAATGCTAAATCTAATCTAGCCTTGATGTTGTCCTTTGTTTTCCCCTTTACATCCATGGCGATGTTGAAAATATTCTCAAATACATTCTTTTCTATGTACATGATGTCAAGGTTATGGTAGAGGAAACTGGTCTTCCAATAAGAAAGTTTCTAAAACATACTTTGCTTTACCCAATTATGGGTCAAACCAAAACTAGAAAACTTCTGCTTACCTGATTGAAAACCAAACACAATATCACCGTACTCTGATACAACATTATGCAATTCGTCACTAGAAAGACATGGAGATACAATATCCTTTTCGACTTTGCTAACAAAGAAATCCTTTTTGTTCCTTTTGTACCTATGATTCGTTGGCAAGAAATGATGGAGATATTAAAAAAAAAGAAGAAACTTTACCTTCATTTGTTAACTTGAATGCCTTGTTATTTTTCATACAATATGAACATGCTAGTTTTCTATGTGTGCTCCAACCAAAAACCACTACATAAGCTGGGAAATCATTGATAGTCCACATTAAAGCCATTCTTATAAAACAAATTCTATTTTCTTGATATATCATAAGACAAAGCTCCGAAGGACCATAATTACATCAACTCATCAACCAACAGTCGAAGACAAATATCTATATTTCAGCTTAGACTACTCGAATTTGGTATGACCATAAATAAAAACATGAACTTCGGCCTTATACACATCCTGGTAGCAAGTCATAAACCGTCAGTATGACCGACCAACTATAATAAGGAGCAACAAATAACTAGAATGAGTTGAATTCATCTGTACACAACCTAATATACATGTTTATTGATTCAACTGGAAAGAGATTGACATTACCTTGCTGCATCTACATTAGGTTCTTCTTCTACGATTGAATATTGAGTGACATTACCTTGATTCATTCTCATTGCATCCATAACCATATTCTTGTAAGGATTATTGTTGTCATTTACAACTTCATGCATGTTACTAGTACTAGAAGTTAACATAACCAACCTTTCTACCATACTCTTATTAGGAAGAAATAGTTCTCCGTGTGCATACCACCATAGATACTCTTTCACGAATCATTTGGTAAGAAGATGCATTGTCTAATATCTAGATGTAGAAACTTTTTATTTTTACACTTTCTGGATGAACACCTAATACTATCATCAGTAAAATTCCTCGAAATAGATGTTATGAAATTAATAAAATCCTAAACCCCATTACAATAATCCATCCTTCGCAATCCTTAGGGTGAGTCTCAATCAATGAACGCTCATCCATGTCTTCTATCAAACCTCTATAAAATTATGATGACAACATGTATTAATTAACTATGTTATGTAAATAAATTTGCAAAAAATATTGGTTTTTCTCAACATTATCTAACAAACTAAAAAAAACTTATGTTAAATATTCGTTATTATTTATCAATTATCATTTTTATTTCGTAAGAATACGAATCCGGTTTTCGTCAAAATATTGCAAAAATTAAAAAGTATCTTGTTTTCATGCATACACCAAGTCTTAAAAAATCATATCATATTTTCATATGAAAAAAATAAAAAATAAATATTAGCATGTATTTTGGTTTTAATAACCAGTTTATTAAAGCCACAAATACTTAGCTAATATTTCAATAATTCCTAAAAAAATCATTTTATTTTCTTTTAGTATCTGGAATCATGAATTTATATGTAAAATGCATTTCCAATATTAAAAGGTATTTCTTTTTATTGACGTTAGAGCAGTTAGCTTTACCTGATAAGATAATAATCTCCTTACCGATGAGGATTTTTCTTAAACTCTAGACAGACTAACATATAAATCTTAGCATATATTAGACAATTAAACAATACAACTTACCTTAGGTAGAAAGTATTTGGATTGCTAATACTTTTTCTTTACACATCTAGTCCTCGTGCTCGATATCTGAGACCAGTTAGGGTTTCTAATGATCAAAATACTAGGTGACGACTCCTATTCCATCATTCTACTGATAAAAGACAAGAATTCGTTATCTTTCTTTATTTTCCAGACTTATATAATATTGAGAGTGGATGATCGCCGTGACATTGTACATGTGCGACAACATGAAAGTCATATTGTATGGAATTTGTATAATGTGTTTCTTGAGAGAAAGCTTATAGTATTCAAAGTAAGCTTTTATTAAGTGTACATTATTTAAAATAATCATAATTTTACTGGGAATCTCTATAAATCTATATATATAATTAAATATAATCATATAATTTTTTTAAAATTATTTGATTGTTGTCTTGCACTTTTATTATCATGTAATTAAGTAAACCATAATTTCATAAAATAAAGTTGTTAGACCTGATTAAGTCATTTGTTTAGCAGTTTTACTCGGGTCGATCTAAAAATAATGTTAAAATGCTAATGTCTTCAATTCCTTATAGTCAAACTAAATTTTTACTAAATTAATTAAATCAAATTTTAATTTACTTAGTTGATTGGATCATATAAAAGTAAAATCTAACCCAATTTAACTTAATACGTAAAACAGGAAAGGGCTAAACTCAAAATATCTTTAATTTTAATTGAATTTCATTAAAACATTAACGACAACTGTAAATATATTTTTCTTTTTGCAATCAAATTTAACTATTTATCAGCAACAATTATATATATAGACACACACGCTACCTCATGCAAAACAAGTGCCACTAGCTAGGTTAATTTAAAGCACAACTTGCTCTTCGTTATTGGAGAGAATGTAGTCATCATAGATTCTGTTTGGAAAACTGATCTTCGAAGAGACTAGGAGCCGGATGTCTTCCCGTCATTGTGTTTTTACTTTGTAAAGTTTTATTGTGTTTTTACTTTCCCGTCATATGTAGTTTTAAAAAATACATTTTAAATCCTAGGTCAAATAAAAATTTCTAAAATAATAAGAAGAAAATATTATCATATATAATACAACACAAATATTAACTATAACTATGATATCAACTTCTTTATACAACCTCTTCCCTGTCCTTCTCTCCCATCCCTTCTCAATTAAGTTTCTATAACTAATAAAAATCAACTTATCTATCATTCAGTGTTCACTAGGGTTCCAGAGGTTATAGCTATTTGATTATATAGAATTAAAAAGAGAGTCAGCCAGAAGGTAGTTAGCTGGCATTTCACAAATATAAAATGGATGTTTATAAGTGTGGTGACGATTAATTTTTAAAATATTTTTATGATTAATATATTAAAATAATATTTTTTATTTTTAAAAAATTAATTTTAACATTAACACATTAATAATTTGAAGTAAAAAAATAATTTTTTCCTTGAAATTCTTTTGAAATACAAAAATAAATGGCCATACCTTCCTCACAACAAATTATTGGATTAAATGACAAGCAAGACATCGGATGCAGTTAATGATTCTTATAAGATTTAATCAATTATTTTTGGAACACGACAGTTAAAACCTTTGAAATAGAAGGAAGCACCATGAAAGGATGATGATGGCCTTGCTGAATTGAACCAGATTGCCTCAGGTTGTGGCTTACGTCGCCTTGCGTTGTGATAGGAAAGACGTCTACGACAGCTTCGCTTCTTGTCATCAAACCCTGACAATTCACGGAACCTAAACAAATTTTGCATCCTAAATGCAGCTTCAGCAGACTTGTTTAGCCGTCGATAATGACATCAGAAAGCTTAGCAAAAGCAACAAAGCTAAATCATGGAGATTGAAAATGAATAATTACTAAGAATTCCCCAGAAATCAAGATTCATGAGAGAACCTGCCTGCTACACTTTTTTATGGCTTCCTGAAAAGGATTTCTGTTCAATAATTGATCATGAATGATAATTTTGTTATTTTGAGATTTCAAAGATTTTTTAGTCGTTAAAATAATAATCTTGTAAGTAATAAGATATATTTTGTTGGCTTTCTTTTAAAGGATATTAAATGTAAACTTGCGAATGAAATTTATGATATAAAATATAATTTTTCGTATTAAACACAAAAAATTATAGATGTATATTTATTTATTCCAAGAATTTTGCGTCTTCTCAATTAGGGTTTTTATTTTGAGACTGAGAGGGTAGATAAATTATCTTGAATTCAACAATTTAACATGACATGGAAGGAACATGCATTAGAGAGAGGATCTAATTTGACATGTCGCACAATAATGACTTAATCTATAGCCTTATTTTATTTTATTTTCTTTTTAATTTTGGTACAATAAAAAGCTCTTCAACTATGTAGAAGAGATAACATGTTTAGAGTATGATCAGATGAGGCCAGCTTTCAACTGCCATGAATATTTTCTAGTAATTCCTAAACTTATACTGCATATAGTTTATTACTGAGTTGTTGCGTAATTAATTAATTGGAATAGAGAGCATGTATCCCATCAATATCATCCTGGGCGAGATCTCTTTTCTTCTTTCCCAGTGCTATCGTTGGATACATGATGGCTTCGGGATGATCTTTACTATGATAAAGGCCAAGCAGATGTCCTATTTCATGAACAGTAACGGATTCCAGGTCAATTTGATCCATTGCGGGGTCAGTGCTCCAGTTCTCGTCTGCATCGTAATGGAGACGGCCGTCTTCGGCAAAAAAGCATGAGCCAGTTGATTCCCTGGTCCATCGAAAGGACTCTGGTCCCCATGATCGCCGCTGAAGAACTCAATTACAATATCTGCAGATGCACCGGCAGTCGCCTCCTGGAAAGTGAATGGAGAAACCTTTGCCCATGTTTGAAAAGCTTTTGAACAGACCGACCTCAAGGTGTCCGAACCAACAACTTGGACACCCGAGCCAAATCTGTAGGTCAGAGCATACTTGGAAGGTGGCCACTTTTGTGTCCCGAAAGCATAATGAGCAACCATGTGGACCTTCATGTGTTTTGATTTAGTGCTGTTCGGTTTTGTGGACGGAGTGCTTGTGATATCAGGCATTCCACATCGTGGAATCACCATTTGTTGTATGGTACTAGAGTCAAGGTTACCAGTAACATTCAGATGAAAATATTCTTGGTATGTTTTGAGTGCTAGCTCCAAGTGGTCATCAAAATCACTGCTTGTGAGTGTGATATCACTTGGGTAGTACCCAAGCTTTTTGAGGTATTGTTTGAGCTCAATAAGCCCTTCCACAGTTTGGCCCTTTTGAACCCCTTCCAGCCCTTGAAGGAAGCTGCTAAAAGATTGCCGATGCTCGGGTTTCAAAGTTCTTGCCTGACCTTTGAAGGACTGGATAGAAAAGATAACGAGGATTGCTGATAAAAGATGGGGAAGTTTAGGAGCCATATCGTATGTTGTTTCGGAGAATGGCTTCAGACGTGGGCTGTGGCTTTCAATTCTAGCATCGGATGGCTATTTATAGGCTAAAGTCTTGGCATTAGGATTATCAAATATGTCTTGAGACTTACTAGTGTCCTTATTTTTGTTAATTTTGATTTCTTATTTTCAAACTACATTTGTTCTTCAAGCATCTAATTTTTTTTTTCATAGCAATCAATGAAATTACTATCTAAATATTTGAGTTTAACTTTCATTTATATGGTCATTATTAGATATCATTATCCAATAAAATCAACTTCTTCTACTATTAAGAAAGTACATCTCTTTAACCCAGAGGGGTATAGCTCAATGAGTTAAGTTCTAGATTTGCTTAACAAAGATCATCAGTTCAGGTTCACAAGTCTCAAGGCCACTGAAAACTTGTATGGTTGTTAACTCTAGGACCTGTAAGATTAGTCAATGTATACTAGCTATTATTTCAATAATTTTATTTTCATCATTATTAGTCTTGAATGATTAAATATAGCATATATTTTTAATATATCTTTTCTATTTAACTCATTTAAATAATACCTTTGAGAATGAGCACTTAAAAAATAGATGTTCGTGAATTTTTATATATAAACCATACAAGATACATATGGCAGAGATGATGATCTAAAAAGTTTATAGTTTGTTCATAACATATAGACGACCAAAAAGAGTAAGTCATAAGATAAATGGGTGTCATGAAACATGTCCTGGAAACTAGAGAAGATGGTGTATAATATTCTTAAGCCTAGTATCTCGAAGTATCTCCCAAGCTTAATCAATAATGTACCTCCTAGTAGAATGACTTGTCTAGACATCGTGATTCAAAAAGCTAACTAGTGGTCGAATCTAATGTAGTCTCATATTTGATGGAGGTCCTAAATATCTAAAGAAAGTCCCAACCACCTTCCTTAATAATGTATGCAACCTTTGGATATCAAGACAATCTAGTAGATGATAAAGTTTAGAAAGTCAAAAAGTCATTAAAACATTGTCAATATGGAAAATAATAATCTAGTTATAAAGAAGTCAAATAGCCATCACCAATGGAAGAGAAAAACATACTTCTATACCAATCTCGACTCTGAAGAATCTTTCGCCATGACTAAAAAGATACTAAAGGTAGCCTAGCATGTCAAAAATGACCTCCTTTTAAGCAATACAGAATAAACCCAAGCTGACCAAAATGTAATTTGTTTGAAAGTAGCCTTTAAATATGCTTGAGAATAACTTTTTTGTTCCAAGTCTTAACCCTTTTAATCTCATGCCCACCCTCTTACAAAAGATAGCAAATCAAAGCCCAAACTATATTTACCTTTAAAGGCCAAGTAGATGAATCCTTCTAGAGGAAAAAAACTAGCATGCTCTTAATTTTTCTAATAATAGAACAAGAAAGGATAAACATAACAGACCAATATATTTAGATGGAAAAGAGAATGAATTTATCAGCTATAAATAACCAACATATATAAGAGATGTCGAGGTGCATAACCTGATCTTAGAGAGAATTCGCTGAACTAAAACCATTCAATCACTATGTTTTAATCAAGTAGTAATCAAAGGAACCCCCAAGTATATGATTGGCGTGGAGCTCAACTTGAAAACCATGAGATCAAAAATAGATGCTTTCAAATCATCATCCATACGTGATGCAAAAACATGACTCTTCTCTAGGTTGATCACCAGCTTTAGTAACGCAGCAAAGTCATCCAGAACCCTGTTTACAATACCCATTAAATATGTATTTGCTTGACAGAATATCATAAGGTCATCATTAAAGCATAAATGAGTAATATTCTCGTGTTGACACCTCTAATAATAGTGGTATCTCTAGTCCTGAGCAACCTTTCTAAGAATACAACCAAGCCCTCCATAGCCAACACAAACAAAGTTAGCTATGCACCCGTTTTGGTTGCAAGATAGCTTAGGGCATACAACATATGACAAGGACAACTAAATTATCACAATTCTCTAGGTTATTTAAAAACCAAACCGCTTTAGAAGTCATGAAAAACATCAAGCAAGATTGGAAGCTTCTACTATTGATAATAAAAAAAGGAATTAAATGGTTTAAGAGATCCAGTTACTAGTGAAAAATACCTGAGCTGGACAAATCTATCATTGGTGACTTTCTTCATGAATCTCAAATTCAAAACCAAAACTTGACAAGCCATTGAACTAAATAAGAGAAAAAGGATTAACACGAGGAAGAGTTAAGAGAACAACTAGAAAAGGTCCAGGTAGAATTGGGCACCAGTAAAGCCCTCAGGATGTCCTTTGAAGAAAAATTCTTCATTAAAGAGAAACTGAGGAAGTTTGTGGAGTAACAATTGATGGAAAAAGATAAAAGGGTTGTGTCTTTAGAGAAACAGTTAAGAGAGGAAAAAGTGGCTAGAAACCGAGCTGAGAAAGAGCGAAGAGAATTAAGAACAAGTTGGATGCAAAACAATACCAAATATGAGACATTGAAAGCCAATTTCAATTATTGCTAAAAAAGAATGATATGTCTTTAAGGGTCCAAGCAAAATTGAAAAGCAAAATTGAACAACATAAGTAGTTATATAAAGAATATGTGATGTTTGAGAGTGAGATGGTTAAATCAAAAGCCAAAGGAAAAGTTGTTAGAAATTCTAAAACTGATGAGATCAACTTGTTAAAGAGAGAGCTACACAATAAAAAAAAAATTAAGGTAAAACATTTGGAGAAGAAAAACAAGTTGTTGGAACACCACAATTAAATGATTGATGTCAATAATAATCAACTGAATAGGAGTAAAATATTGCTCTTAAAAAAGATAAGTAACATGAATAAGTATATTGATTGAGTTTTTATTTATGCCTAAAGAATTCATCTCAATACTCGATAAGTTAGTAAAGATGTTAACTGATATTAACAAAATGCAACTAAAATTAATATTTTTTTTTATGGATATAAAAAATAAAGGCTTTGTTTTTCACCTTCTGAAAATGATTTTTTTTTTTTATGGATATAGAAAATAAAGGCTTTGTTTTTCACCTTCTGGATGATGATGAATGAATTTATCCTCAAATGTATAAGTTTTCATTGAATATTAATGAAAAAGGCTTAGACCCAATCTTTTCTACAACATCTTGTATTGATAAATATAGTTTTATTTTTTTTATTTTACATCAAATATATTGTAAATTTTTTCAAATTAATTTAATTTCTCTACATAACATTGAAAAAAGTATTATAAATGGAGAAAGGCTAATACAAGTATATTTTTAGATTACCACAATTTTTTTGTGCGAGGAAACATATTTAAATATGATAAAACACCTTTCTAAAGTACTTTTAATTTCAATTCAAATAAAATAACTTATTTAGAATAATTAATTGTATCATTAAGTTGTTATTTAATATTTTTTTTTCAATTTAATTGTTATTTAAGTAGTATCACATATTAGAATAATTCTTATAAAAAATAAAGTTTTTTATTTGGCCTTTATATTTATGAATCCTCTAAATCTATCGTAGATACCATCCTTCTATTTATCCACCAATGCAAAAAATAAAAAAAGAAAAGAAAAATAAAAATCTTTGCTTTCATTAAAGTTATTATAAGAAAATTTAGAAATAAAAGGAAAATATATGTTCTGATTAAAATTACTATATGAAATTATTAACGAAAAAAACAAATACAATCAAGAAAACATAAATATATGGAAAAAAAAAAAAAAAACACCCCATCAACGAGTTATATATAAATTTGTGGCTCAACGCCGCACAACAAAACACAAGCACGAGCGACCAAAGCGCCTTCTTTCCTAATATCCACATTATGTGGCCGTGCACATCCTGCCAGCCACACCCTCTCTTCTCCTCCATTCCCTCTCTTCCTTTCTGATCGTTCCCTCCATCTCCCTCCTCCCATGGCCAAAACAACCACTGCTCCCTCCCATCTCACTCCTTTTACTCAAAACCATTCCTTCAACTCTCCACCGCGAACCACCATCTCTTTTTGGCACCGACCCACTTACCCTCCATCCTTTGCATTGCCCATAAACTGCCATTTTGTTGCTCCTTCATGTAAGACACTCAAGTCTAACTGTAGAATAGTGTGCAAGGCAACAGAGGTGTCGTTGACTGAAGAGTCACCGTCTTCTGGTGGAGAGAATTGGGTTCCAGTTGTGCCACTGACTGCCCTGCCTAAGGGAGAAAGAAGAGTGATTATTCAAGATGGAGAGGCTATACTGTTGCTATGGTATAAAGACCAGGTTTATGCAATTGAGAATCGGTCTCCTGCAGAAGGGGCCTATACTGAAGGTCTGCTTAATGCCAAGCTCACACAGGTTTGGTATAGTTACTTCACTTGTTTTGTATTCATCTCAGTTTTAAACGCTGCAGCAGTATTTTTATTTAAAAAAAAAAAAAAGATGGTACGGGAAATGCCAGTTTTTATGGGCTTTTGGATTAGATTTTAATTGAAATGTTTTGATTTGTGAATAATGCCTCTTTTCCTCGTTTGAATCAAGTGATTTTGAATCCTAGATTTGAGTGTTGAAAGTCAGAGAGATGCTTATATTCGTCTCACTGTGGCCTGCTTTGTTTGAGACTACAAGACAATAAATCACGAGTACATCTATGTAGTGGATCCTAGTATCTGAAAGAAGAATTTTTGTATACAAATGTTTAATTGGAACTTGGAAGAATCTTTTGTGCAGAAAGGGAATAGATTGTGTCAGAAACCCAGGATCAGATTAGGTTAGCAGTATTGCTTTTCCATTACGAGGAAGGCAAATCAATCATATAGAGATAAGATAAACTATAGGCATCAGATGAGTTAAATTTAACTTCTTCCTTTTATCCTTTGGTGCATTTAACTGAAGTTTCAAGTCTACAACTCCTCATCTCACAGCCAAAAAAGGATTTGGTGTCTGCTTTGTTCAGCAGAAATGACTACCCTGTTTGTTTATTGACTGTTTATATCGGTAGTTAGGCTGCAAGCTGCAAGTATGATAAAACATATAATTGTCAATCCTCACTTTAGATCATCTGAATTTTCATAGATTAGGACTTATGATCTGACATAAAACACCCTCAATAATCTTTAGGATTTATGGCATTGAACTCAATTTTAAATGTTCTCTCTAACTAACAGGCTGACAGAAAGTGGGTTTAGTTGTAGTAAGTTTTAATTAGCACTATACAACATTTAACCTTTGGTTAGTAGCTCTGTTATACTAATACAATGTAGTTGCTTCCTTCAACAGACATTCTAAAAAGAAAAAATAATATTCATATAGATATTAAAGTCATACAGTTCTCTTATTTTACCAGCAGTTGAAATCATATTTACAGCCGATTACCACATAGCAAGAAATGAAATTATGTCCCCAGCTGCCTTTGGATTCTTGGACACAAGTGAACAATGACTTCA